GGTGCGAAAGTGACTCCCTTTTCAATTCCTTCCCGAATCTATTCCTCAAAGGGAAAGTCTCCCTTAGATGCTACCATGCCCTAACGCCTATCTCCTCACCAATTGCCCTTTTTCACAAGCAGGGGTTCACCACCTTCTCCAGGCAACGGTGATCAGGGAGAACTGCATTATTTTGCTTTTTTCCCTTTAGGCTTACCTTCGAGGGCATGCAATACTGGTTTTCCATTTACACATGCATTGGACATTTTTAAAAATACTGTGATTTAAGTTTTTTAGAAATGGACGTTGAATTAGTAAAACTGCGAAATGAGTATTACCCTGAATTGTTCATGAAGGGGCAGATGCCACAGGGTAAAGACGGGAAGCTGTGTTGTGCTGTTCGGCCTCTGTTCTAGGGGGTTCTTTAAGGTTCTGGCAAGTTTGGAGGGTTACAAGGAGCGTAGTCAAAGTTTGGGGGCAGGGCTGGGAAGAGGGCTGGGACTTCCTTTGCAAGGGTCCTGGGAGCCTGGCTCAAAATGGCAGCTTAGTCCCCTCCTGCCTTAGTTATTTTAATTAAAACCCACATCATTACTCTCCTTTTGCTTTGTGATCTCTTTCTGGATACCTCCCTCTCCCTCTCCCTTTATCCTGCTGGGGTTTCTGCGCCTGGAAAGCCTGCATCATGAACTAGTTAAGCAGATCACCCTTCTCAGTTGCACCAGCTTAGGAAGGGTGGTTTGCCTCTGAGTGTCTGGTGTACAAACGCCCCCGGGCAGTGGGTGGAGGAGGACAAGGCAGCAGGAGGCCAGAGGAGGGAGGGGGAGAGGGTTTAGCAGGGGAGCATAGGGAGGAGGGAACACATCATCCAAAGGCTGAGCCCTGCTGAAAGCTGGTGGGTTCCCCTCCGTTACCACAACCCTGGGCTTTTCTCTCACTCCCCAGCTGGCCGGGCACAGGGGCCCACCCCTAAGACCCAGGGTGTGCACTGCTGCCCCTGTCTCCTAAAGACTCTGGGCATGGGACAGTTGGCCAAACAAGGAAAGGGAGCAGTGCCCGGAGCGAGGGAAAAGTCCCTTGTCCTTGAAGCAACTTTGGACCGTAGTGGCTTAGGCAGTGTTTCCTGAAATTGTCTAAGCATAAGGACCATCCCAGAGTGTTTGCTCAAATGTTATCTTCCTGGTCCCAAAAAGAATGGCCTCATCCGAAACTGGGGGTTGGTGGCAGGGCAGCAGAAGTCCTGCCTCGGTGCCTTGCCCACCACCTGGTGCCCACCCACCTCTCTGGACGCTACTAGAAAATGCCCAGACTCACCATGTCTTTGACCAGCAAGTGTCCAGAGGCGAAGGCAATTGAGTTGGGGGGCGTAGAGACTGGGAGCATGAAGGCGTAGGAGCAGCCCACTGTGCCGGGAATCATCAGATACAGGGGGTGCACTCTCAGGCGGATGGCCTGGGCCCAGGACGGGGCAGATGAGACATAGAGAATTATCGAGACACCACAGCAAGAGATGGAGACAGTTGGGAGGAGAGCAGCATGGAAGACAGAGGTAGAGACAGCAAGAGAGGCAAAGACACATGGATAGAGGTTGCCGAGTGAGAACGGGCAATAGACACACACGAGAGGACAGGTTAGGAGACACAGGAAGAAAAATGCAGCCCGAAATACAAATACACGGAAGAGAGGGATGCGATACGCAGAAATAGACAGACAGACAGAGAGACAGATGGAACCAGACCAAGGGAGACATGGAGAGAACATTCTCAGGGTTAGTGACATTCCAGAGCCACACTGCAGGGTCATCAGGGACAACGGGGTGCGCTGATTTATCTAGAAAACTCCTCCAATTTGAGTAAGCGCCCGAATCCCCCAGAGGCTGGTTAAAACTCAGATGGCTAACCCCTACCTCACCCAGAGTTGCTGGTTCAGCAGGTCTGGGGTGGCCCTGAGAATCTGTATTTCTAACAAGCTCCCAGGTGACGCAGACACTCTAAAATAACAAGCCCCCCTGCCCTGTCCTTCTCTCAGCCAAATAGTCCAAGCAGCTGGGCTCTAGGCACCTTTGGCTGGGGCCTCCCTGGGCTGCAGGGATACAGGGATCTCAGGATAGCATCAGTGGGCCAACATTTCCAAATTTTTAAGACTGTGTGGATCCAAGTGCCTATGGGTTGGCCTCAGTCACTGGGCCACCGGTTCATCACCGCTCCCCAATGACATATTCACCTATAATTCATGTTGATCACTTCTGCAGCCTTTTATTTAAGATAGGACAATTTTAGCCCCTCTGGGGAATTTTTGCAACTCAGAACATACACATTTTCTCAAAAGGCGCTAAAAGCACCCCTTTTGTGTAACACGTTTTGATTTTGATGATACACAACATTTAGGAGGATGTGTCATTTGCTAGGGCCTTCTCCAGCAAAAGCAGCCTCTGCAGCTCTGGCTGGCTGTACGCTCCCTGCCCCTTCCCACCCCGTAGCATCTCCATCTCTCTAATTGCCAGGTTCCTCAGATCCTGGGGAAGGGGGTGATTAAATCCTATTACACTTACCAAGGGGGTGGGGACCCCCACCCTGTAATGTGGGTGGCAGTGTCAAATGGCACACCCACGTTGGAGGACAATTTACCCATATCTAACAAAATTGTAAATGTACGTGCTCTTCCCACCAGGGGTCTCAGTTATAGGAATGTATCTAGCTGTCACCAAAGGTGCATGGACAGGAAAAAGGTTGAGGCAGCCTTGTTGGGTGACAGCGAAGGCTGGAAACAGATGGCTTAACCAAATCACCAAATCGGCAACTATCGATTCATAATAGAATATTCTCCAGTCATTGACAAAGAATGAAGTGCATCTCTGTGCATGTGAATACAGTGTGATCTCCATTATCATTGATACATTAATCAACAAACAAAACCAAGTGGTTCAGACAAGTGTGCCTGGTATATCGCTGCATACAAAGCACACGAGTATACCCACAACATTGATTTCATTTGATCCACTTTGGATTGTATGGAGATAATCAGGTGGTTTGGTCTTCTTTAATCTATTTAAATGTAAAACTGTCTCAATAATTTCTCATGTTAATCACTTTTGAAATTCCTAGTATAAACTCTGCTGGATCGAGCTATGTTGTTCTCTGCATGTGATCCTGGATTCATTGATTGCTTTTGCTGTTGGGGTTTTGCTAACCTAATACCTGGACTGAATGTTTTTCTCCACGTCTCTGTGCTCTGAAACACTTTGGGGAAGTTGACAGCTATCTGTTCCTTGAAGGGTCTAGCTCTCATCTAGCCAGCTTTCCAGGGTTGGTGACTTTCAGAGCAGTGGTTCTCAGCTGGGGGATGGTTTTTGTCCTTCCAGGGGACATTTGGCAATGAAGACATTTTTGACGGTCATAATTT